ATTAATTAACAAGTATATATGAAATAGGGACAGACGTCACGAGAAAAGTAAAGAAGCATGCGAGAATGAGGTAATGTGTGATAATGCGATTGTAAATGATATAGTCATAAGATACGATATAATATAAGGACGCTTGATGGTCTTTATTTATAAAGGGAAGATGCTACTTCAGATAGAACCTCTAAGTCCAGTCTTTAGTAGAACTTCTATATACAAGCAAGGAGGAATGTATGAGGAAAAACCTCAGGAATATCCCGAAGACAAGATCTGAGACAAAACCTAAGATAAAAACCTATCGATACAGACAAGGCGAATTCGAAGAGCTTTTATAATTACATGGCAACTAGATTCCCCCCGATACTAATACAACACCATTCTATTACTAACTACAGACACCAATTAAACTTACTCCTCGCTTCTTTATCCTATTCAAGACTCCTTCCGAAATATCCATTTAACGGTAAAAGCTTGGTCGGGTTAGTAGAGCGTGATAATAAGTAAATGCGTTCTGTTCAAACGTTAGTGATCCGTTTGATAACCAGTTACTCCATCGTGATTTCAACCTTATAAGGGCACCGCAGTAGGGCTAGGTCATAACATCATTCGTGTACTAGATATCAACGATTATGACTTACCGTTACGCGTCGACGGTTGATCACAATATGGTATTTGGATATGGAAATAAGCTAGGTGTATAGGAGTATGAATAAGGAAACAGGGAATAACTATATGGCAATAAGAAAACTATGTATCGGGATACAAATATAGGATAGATGGGCAAGTAGAAAAACAGGGGATATCGGTCATACGATTATCGGTTTGAGGATCAAAACTTGTGGATCATAGTGGCGCAAAAATCGAAAAATCATGTGATGGTAGTAACACCGTGAACAACTGTGAACATTCGTTGTATTTTGCAGAACTCATTTCATGAGCAAACGGCACCCGTTTTCCTAGTGATTGGCTTGTTTAATTTCTGGCGGACAGCTAACCAAGAGGGAGATTACGTTAAACAACTGATCAACTTTGAACGGCCTTATGCTAAAAAGATAAGCATACAATAAACCATTTGAATATTATCAAGGTTTGTAAAAATGTGATATTTTATTTGAATATTAAAAATGGTGTTTAAAATAGTATATGAAGGTAACTATGATACATTATGCAATAAAAATGGGAATTAAAAATCTATGGCTATAATATGATGTTGTCACCAATACGAGATCGAAGCCAATAAGAATGAAATAATAAGAATGAAATAATAAGTATGAAATAATGAACTCAAACATTATCAAAAATCTACAGAAATGATGGTGATAATGGAAAGTCTCGAGAAAAGTCTAGAGTAAAACCTCAAGATTACTATTGTTACATAAGTAGTATTAGAATAAAGATTTAAAAAAACAATAAATTGTAAAAATGTCACTGAATTCTATTTCTATTATGCATTTCTTTAATAAATAATTCTAGATGGCGACTATAAAACTAATTCATTATCAACATAATAACATGCTTCACACATAATTACATCACCCTGGTTTGTAAACGTACAACGTGGACAATCCCACTGTCGACTTGTATTCTGATCTGGTCGCTCGTTCGAACACATTTCACATTCTGATGCTGACGGATTATTTTCATATGTACATTTTGAACAACACCACCATGCATTACTATTAGTATTATTATTACTATCACTATTATTTCTAAGACTATTACCAAATTGTTCACTACTAGACGAGGAATCTTGGCCAAGATTATAGTCATTTTCATCATTTGCAAATAATTCATCATAGAATAAAATTCTAGTTCTATCTGATGATAAATTATCTTTAATACAATTGACAAGCATTTTTTCAGTAACAATTTTAACTTCAGAACCCAACCCTTCGTTTTTAGATAAAGGATTATGACTGCTATAAACAATAACGCCTAATATTCCTTCTCCATACTGATCAACGGAAGTTTGAAAATCTTTTAAAATCTTCTTATCAAAAGTGCGGCTAACATTAATAAGAATAATTTGCCTATTATATGTAGCAATAAAATCAATTTTGTCACCTCGACGATTGTCTTCTCGACGATCAAAACTATTGGTAAGTACTTTATTTTCGTTTAATAATCTTTCAACATAACGCTTAAAATCGTTCTCGCTCTTATTAGATGTTGGATTAGTATAATTTGGTTTTTCTTTGAAAGATAATCCACTTTGTCCTAATCTTGATCCTAGTTCTAATGAATCGAATTTTAATTCTAATTCCTCATTTTGTTTTTGTATTATCTTTTTAATACGACTGACAATTGTTTCCTCAGTTACAATTTGAATTTCAGGACATACTGCCTTCAACCATAACACTGCGCCTCTAGTTAAAGGATTATATTTCAGAACTTCACTGTTATAAACAACGGCGCTTATTATTGAATCTCCAAACCGGTAAACTGAAGCTTGAAAATTTTTTATAACGTTAACATCAAGAGGTTTACTAACATGTTTACACTGAATAAGAATAATTCTTCTGTTAAATGTAGCAATAATATCAATTCCATTATCTCCTTGTTGATAAGAAACAACTCTAGCCTGTATTCCATTTTCGTTTAATAATTTTTCAATTTGGATTTCAAACTCATGACCGACCGAATAATATGGTTGATTTGTTTGTTTGGATGACATGTTCATATTATTAAAACCTATGTATGTACGTATGTGTATGTACGTATGTATGTACGTATGTATGTGTCTGGTTTTTTTTCTATAATGTAAACAAATTATTTTTAAAATTGATAATTTTTTTTCAAAATTTCTAAATGTTAAAAAATTCATTTCTTTTATATTTAATTTTTTTTATATCATCCTAACTAAGAAAACAAGGAATGTGATACGTATACCCATTACGGAATATTTATTATTGTGCTGAATAAACATAAATAACGATAAAGTTTTCTTTGTGAAATATTTAGTATGAATGAAAACTTAACCTTCCAATTTAATATATGCACTAGTACTAACTCAACCTTAATATGATACGAGATCACCTTTTAGGTTAGCTCAAGTTGCGTCATAATGCACTTCTATGTAAACAATTTATTTCCAAACATGTAAAATGGTACAATCTATAAAGAAACAAAGCCTTCCATAATTGGAAATTAATTCAGGGTCCTGTGATCTGAAACTCTTAAAACTCGGATTATTGTTTCCGGAACCTTAATCTAGATTTTTTGGCTTTCGATTAATATTTCCCAAACTAATTTCGAATAGGTCTTGTTTCAGGTTACAATGCAATGTTTATTAGTTCGAGACGACAGTTCTATACGTAGGGGAGACTGACCACAAACAATACTAACAATCACTCTATACAATAATAAATATATGCATGGGAAGACTTAGTCCGAACTATGAGTTAATAACAATCATGACTTTATCCTGGGGCACCAGATAAAAATTAGCCAAATAATTTTTCGGCCGATTTGATTAAGTTTGTGATTTCGGCATAATTGATAATTTAGGATCCGTTGTTAATACTGTAATACTGTAATATTGTAATACTGTAATAGGGGGTTTCTAAATTAAAATCAAATAATCATATTTTATATTTCAACATAGTCAAAATGCTATTGAAATAATCATACTTATTTTCGAAATGCGTACGTAGTAAATATGTATGTATGTACAGTACGTATGTAGATACGTACGTACGTATATGCGTATGTCTCTAGTTGAATACAGAAATATTATCCCTTCAAAATAACTTTGCTGGAAAGTAATTGAAAAAAATTAATTGGTTCGAAAAATTGTTAAACGTTTAGGTGTTAATTGTAGAATACGTACTGTAAGTATTGTACTGTACGTAATACAGCATTATACATGATAC